ACATACACACACACACACACACACACACTCACACACACACACACTCTGCAGCCGTTTCTGATGCTCCTTAAAGTTTAACGGGCTTTTAGCACTTACGTTTCTGTAGTTGTGAAAATGTTTTATGGTTCTTGAGCAAAAAGCAGTTTGCAATGCAGCGGCGACAAAAAGGCGACTCGGCATTTGGATGAAAACATGTCATTTACAGGAAGTTCATGCTGAAGCCATGGGCTTTGGTTCAGGCTTTGAGTTCAGTCTATTGAAAATCAGTTTAGTTTTGATCATTATACATCAATTATTTGATAAGGTTAACAACACATTTAAGAGACTACATTTAGGAACCAAAAAAAGAAAATGTATGAGCATCCGACATGGAGAGTGGGCCCATTTGGTCATTTCTAAACTCCCTAAAATGTACCTTTAAGGGAAAATGGGTCTGACCACTTATGGGTTACGGGCAATACCTACAGTTTAGATAATCTATGTAATTAACAGTAAATAAATTGTGAACTTCATTCAAACCTAATAAAGTTGAAGACTTTGACCCAAATAAAGTGCATGAACCAAAACAAGTACACTGACACAGTCATCATTCATTTCCTTTTCTCTTTTAGAGATTTATGTTAGCTGTCTTAAGCCTTCAAAGGTCTCAGACTGACTTTTCTATCTTTAATTCCTTATTGGTAAAAAAGGCTTACTGATAGGTGCCATTGTGACATTAGAAAACGTCTACATTTGACAAAAGGCTAATTTAAAACCAAAGAACATAAAACAGCAACAAAAGAGCAGAAAAAGTGTACATACATTAGATCTAGATAGCCCATTCTGCATTATGTTTGGTGCCATTCGCAGATTAAATCTATCATACGACTTTCTGAGCTCATAGCTGGATCTGCTCGGACTCGGGGATTAAAATATATTGATCTAATTTGCCCATTATATCTTTCAAGCTTTTGTCTTTAATCTGCTGCTTCATAAAATCTGCTTTAATGTGTTTACAGCTTTTAAAAGGATTTATAGCTAAATATTTGGAGTGGCTTATTTTAATGGCCGGAAGAGGTACTGCATAAGGACCAATCACAAAAACACAACACATTGTTTAAACTTCGAATGCACTATTAAAATATTAGAATATACCTATTGAAGCTGGGTTTTGTTGGAAATGGTTATCCTTAGCTTCTGCAGTTCAGTTTCAGCTTCTTTTACAGCTAAAAAGTGCCTTAATGCCTGTCAACACATTAGTATACAGTTAACCCAGAACTATACCAGCACTAAATAACTTTTTCTGTTTTTTTATTGTAAAAAGGTTTTACGTCATTACACTAATAGCCCCAAATAGAAATGATTTATTGTACATTTTGATGTCATTGTGAATATTTCAGTAGACCTGCATATCAGAGAAAGGGGGAAAAAAAGAAGTTGAATTAAGCTGTTGTGTGACGCTGGCAGTGAGGTTGCAGTGATGTCTTTCAGGAGTGAGATAGCTCAGTACATCGACATCCCCCACAACTTCACGCTGACCCGGAGCTCGGTCAGGGTGGGCCAGCTGATGCACTACGACTACTCCAGCCACAAGTACGTCTACTCCATCGGGGAGAACTTCCGCTCGCTGCTCCCCGAGGCCTCCCCCATCCTCAACAAGCGCTACAACGTGTGCGCCGTGGTGGGCAACAGCGGCATCCTCACCGGCTCGCACTGCGGGGCCCAGATCGAGAAGTTTGACTTCGTCTTCCGCTGCAACTTTGCCCCGACGGAGATCTTTAAGAAGGACGTTGGGCGTCGGACCAACATGACCACTTTCAACCCCAGCATCCTGGAGAAGTACTACAATAACTTACTGACGGTCCAGGACAGGAACAACTTCTTCCTCAGCCTGAAGAAGCTGGATGGGGCCATCCTCTGGATCCCAGCGTTTTTCTTCCACACCTCGGCCACGGTGACGAGGACACTGGTGGACTTCTTTGTGGAGCATCGGGGGCAGCTGAAGGTCCAGCTGGCTTGGCCCGGGAACATCATGCAGTATATCAACAAGTAAGATACACCACACCTTCCAATTGTTTATAAGATCGCATGTTTTTCATTTGAGTTTTTTCCAGACTAGGAATCCTAAATTCAGTAGTCTTTTACTTGATTAATACCGTAAGAGTAGGAAACTGTTTTCTTTTTTCTTGATTCTGTCACACAAACTGAGACAATAGGATGCACTTTGGATGCACTCATTAGTGGGCTTGGATTAGGGTTAGGTGAAGGGTTTTTAGGATTTTAGCACTTTTACATAATACATCCTGAGCCATTTTTTTTACTAATGACATCTGGAGATGTTTATATATATACATATTTATTTATTGATTTTAATTTTTTTTTTTTTTTTTTAATTTCATTTTATTTAACTTAATACCTTTTTGCCCTGTAAGCTGCTCGTAACCTTAATTTCCTGAGGGAGTCTTCCCAAGGGATCAATAAAGTACTGTCTAAGTCTAAGTCTAAGTCTAGATAAAGTCGCTGTGCAGAGCATACCAAAAAGGAACAAAATTCTATTAAAAAAGACGTGTTTCTTTTGCTCAGCTATCAGGATCCAACTGGCATGAACCTAGTTTGATAATGGATGAGTATGTTAACGCTGTGGAAGCTGCCACATTAGTTTCGAGAGCAGTCGGAAGTATTTTTTATCAGTTTTTTGTAGAAGAAAACAGAGAAATATCACAGATTATTTTCAGTGGAAGTTAAGGTCAAATTTGATTGAACTAACATCATCCTGGTTTTAGTTGTGTCTCAGAAAATGTAGCTTCTGTGACAGGGCATTCTCTCTTTTTTTTGGTGGAATATAACTACCATTTTTAATCCTTCAAAAGAAGAAGGCTAATGATGGCTCAGCCCCCTGTTTCAGGTGACCGGGGTCAGCCCTTCTCCTCGATGTGCATCTCTATCCTGTATGGGGTCATTTGTGGAAACTATCATGTGCCGGTATTGTATAGAGCTTTGCTTTGTACTTATGGCGAAGAGGAGATCTAAGCTCTAAAGCCGGATTATAAGAAAACAGCTATATGTTGAAGGGAGGGGCGCGCAGCCCTGGCAGGGTGTGCATGAAGAGGGATTTGGGTCTGGTGCTTAGTGCTGTAGTGGGCTGCTCACACTGTGGCATAATCTTTACCGATCCTGTTAAATCTACCTGCCCTGGAAGAATCGCCACTCTTAGGCAGATCAGAGGACACTTTTGTGGAGGCGAGTTTGGAGAGTCTACCCCTCTGTGTCCAAGCAGAGCTGGACCGCTAATGAAAGCATCAGAAAAAGGGAAAGGCAACAATAGTCATATTTTCCCCTCCGCTGGGGCTTGTGTCTAAATGAGCACACGGATTATCCAGTAGATATTTCCTTTTATATTTACATGTTTTACACATTTGACTACAGTGATACATCTGAATGTCTGCATTTACCCCTATTTGAGCAGCACATGGTTTATAAAAGGAACTGACAAATACTAAAGCTATAGGAGAATTGTGTCAAACAAATAATTCTTCTTATTTGTTGTCATATTTCCTGTTCCATCCTTTCTTGTTCTTGGTGTTAAACTTATGTCGGCATAAAATGTTAAAATGCACAGAAGTGAGTCTCTCACAGTCCAATTTCTTTTTTGGCCGAATATCATCAGTAAAAGAAACCGGAGTATTGTGTATTCAAAATAAATGTTACAGGAAACAGACTTTATACAGATTTCTGTGGCATATACAGTGATTAACAAATGTATGGGACCCCCCACTATGAGCCCTAATGGCAGTTATACACCAGTATGTGGAAGGTCTTTAGTCAAACTCATGTGTTTAACATTAAAATATTACTGTTGTTTTTAGCAGTGCATTTTCAATACAGTTTTGTAGAAAAGAGAATAAGTAATAAAGAACATTATTTCTTGATTAAGTTTACTCTACCTATTTCCACTTCTTCCACTCCTGAACAGAAACAATAGTCTTAAGGATTTAAAGTTGATGCATTTATGACCTCTCAGGGAGGATTTGAGGATAAAAGGGGGAGTTTTGTTTGGAATCCACATGAAGAAATATCTGAATAAGAATAAGAATCAGGTTTATTGGGCAAGTATTTGTGCATACAGGTAATTTAATGTGGTTGTGGTGCAGAACACACAACATATAGAGAGAATTCAAAGATTAAAATAATAAAATAAATGGCATATGAGCAAAAAATAACTAAATGTTTGACTTAATCTTAATCTTAACATAAACTAAAATTATGAATTATTTTCGATATCCTCACTCAAATAATTATGTTCATCTTCTGGCCGTCACAGTGATCAAACATGTTTTCCACCTGCTACAAATCAAGTATTAAGTATTTACATTAATAACATTATGCTACGTTTGATTAATAAAAAAAGACTTAAAGGTATGTTCAGAAGGTGATGACTGGTAATCGCAGTCCTCAGACAGAAACAGCCTCAAATCATCACTATCAGCCATGCTTAAGCAGTTAAGGTTATGTTTACTACCTCTTAAAAAAAAGATCCTTGCAGGCTAATTATCTCTTTTTTTGTGTGTTCGACAGCTACTGGAAAACCAAACAGCTGTCGCCGAAGCGCCTCAGCACGGGCATCCTGATGTACACGCTGGCCTCCTCCATGTGTGACCAGATCCACCTGTACGGCTTCTGGCCCTTCGGCTGGGACCCCAACACGGGCAAGGAGCTGCCCTACCACTACTACGACAAACGGGGCACCAAGTTCACCACCAAGTGGCAGGAGTCCCACCAGCTGCCCGCCGAGTTCAAGCTCCTCTACAAGATGCACACCGAGGGCCTGCTGAAGCTCAGCCTCTCCCACTGCGCGTAGGGGCCCACGTCCAGAGCTTCCAGGGGTCAGACATTTACAGACGAAAGGCCAGAGAAGGTGCTATACGCGGCGTTTTAGCACAAATGAATTCTCAACCGTAAGGCCGTTTGGATCAAGGGGTAAAGTCTAGTCCGACAGGTCCAGAAGCGAGGAGGAACTTCTTTTTCTACTTAAAGTTCTACTTAAAGTTAAACAACAATGAGGAGTTTTGCTTTTGAATGGACTTTCAGGAACCTTTTTGCGCTTCAAACTTATATCTTTTCCCATGAAACAGCACACACAAATGAGTGAATTCACTATTTAGAATTGAGACCATGTTCAGGCCACTTGGAACCCTCGTTGATGTGGTTTTGGTCACATCTAGGGGGCACGGTGTTATATTGAAGCACAGTTTTTTGGTTTAAAGGTGACGCATTTTGGGATAACATATCTTATGTTTACCAAACAAGAACGTCAGGAATAAAGTTATCGAATAATGCATCCTGTGCCAATCCTGTTACTAGGTCACATTTAGTGCATTTGTCATTCTTGACTTTGAGATCTTTAAGAAAAGCAGTCATATCATTCAGCACAGGACTCAGAAAACATCAGTTAGTTTCTCATATATTTTTCTAATGTTGGATTTATTTCAGTGACGACTACTGGGATGTAGAAGCAGTAATAAGCAAGAAATCGCAGGATTTCTCAAATATTTTCTGATTTGGTGACATGACAAAGTTATTTCTTTACAGTTAGAGGACTATGAAGTCTGTAAAGTCTATGTCAGATCCTCATATCTTTATATTTTATTCTCAAACAGCCACGTTGACGTTGGGATAAACCCTGAAAGAGAGAACTCTGTTTTCCTGGTAAAACGTTAGCTCAATAATAATAAGCTTTGGCCTAATGTATAAAGGGCAAACAACAAGACTGTGAACACAGCTACTTGAATTAACAAAAGTGCAACAGAACGCTGGTGAAGAGTGAGTTTCTTCATGTTTTGTACGTTGGCTAGGAGCATAGAGCGTCATGGCGGCCATCACTGTCATGGCGGCTGTTATTGACCCGGGAATTTTCTTATTCCATTTATTACAGTAAATGCTAGCATACGACAGCTAGACCTCCAGTCATCGCAAAAGCACTCCAGCTAGCTATAGATAGGGATAGTTACAAAACGTTTCGCAGGGAAGCTGTGAGTTAGCAACACCTGATAACAAACAATGTATTTTGATTAAATGTAGTGTAAAAAACTAATACAGCTTCACTCATATCAGTCCATGTGTACCATTAATAATTGCATCATTAAACAATTGTACTTGAAGGCCTACTTCTTTTTTTTTTTACATAATCGTGCTGATAATGTGAATGAAACATGCTAAGAGCCTGCTCACAGTAGTGAGTTATCAGAACAGACAGAATGTAACCATCAAACTAGAAAACATTCAGTTTCCAAAGTACATTTTGATTTATGCATTCAGGAAATGCTGTGCGTCTAACAAGGATTCACGAGAATGAACAACCCATTGCATTTTTCAAAACAACTTACAATAAACTGCAACGGCTCGGTGAAATTGGTGGTGGAAAAAATGGCTCCTTTGAACAAGTTGTACATCTTCTTAATTAGCTTAATTGCAGATATTGAGTTAATTACTTTTAAACATAAGAATTAATTAAAAAATAATTACTTTGAAGAAACACTTAACAAGATAAAGATCTGTAAAAGGTGGAATGAATTTATTAAGAGATGTACAGTACTTTTCGAGGGGAAATTGGAATGGCTTGGTTAAGAAGGAACTTTTTATTTTACACCCCTGAGAAGAGGAACAATTTTTCCGTAACATAACACCTTTGAATTTTCCAACACAGTCTATAATATTGCACAGTATCTGTTTTGTCTATAAGTAGATATAGTCCCAGACGACAAGTTTAGTTATAAGTTTCCTCATGTCTCTGTTTTTACTGTCTGCTCTGTTCTGTTTCATGTCAATGAAGCTGAAACTGAGAGGAATGTCAAATTTTTCTTAGTGTTGTCTTTTTGATTCAACATTTCTTTCTTTATTGAGACTGCAGAGTTGCTTATGCTAACTGTAAAGAAATGTACTTGAATTAAGAAAGCTGCACAGGTTATTTTTGACCCCAAAAAAGGTTCTTGAATTTGCAAACCGCTTGCTTGACTAAACAAGTCGACCATATACTTAATAACAGAGTGAGTTTATTTCAGACTGAAACATCCACCCATGAATATGTCACACACTGATGGCATCAACAGAACCAGCAATAGACAAGAGTGGGAGCTAGTTTTTGCCAAAATTTTGCAAGCGTTTTTCTTATTTCTTTTCTGAATGTCTGTGTCATAATACACATCCAATAACTAAACTTGCTGGACATCACCAGAATTCGAGAGCTGTAAAGGGGTTAGAGCTTAAGCTTTCTGGCGATAGCTAATACAGAGTACTGACATGCTAATATTGTGATATTGTGTTAAAGAGCATTTTATGGATGAGGCAGACCTGTTTAGCACTGGACCTAAAGTGACCATCGCAAATGAACATCAGTGCAAAAAAAATGTTTGAACCGCTTTATTAAACGTAAACGTAATCACAATAACCACGCCCTGTCAAACAGCCAATGTTATCTAGCAGGTGGCGTAGCCTATTTCAAAATGTTGCTTAATAATACGGATTTGTGGGTTGAAAGAAATAATTTTGTGACATGTTTCTGGTGATTTTAATATATCTTTTAACACAAGAAAAACCTATCTAGAAATTCAGCACTAACAAGACTAATAGTTTGATTAATGGATGAATTATATATATATATATGTATTTCTATGTACATATATAGGTGTGTGTGTGTATGTGTATGTATGATTATTTATGCATTTAGACATACATACATACATACATACATACATACATACATACATACATACA